CAAAAACTGCTGGCACGAGCAACACGACTTGGTGGGCATGCCAACGGCGTCGACGACGAAGACTCCATGCCGCCATCCTCCATCTGCACTAGACGTTTTTCCACTAAGAAATTGTTGGAAGGAACTGTGCGGACTTCTATTTTTATGAAATGTGCAATGCTCAAGGAGAATTTTTTCTCTAGATATGTAGATTTACAGGATGATCGATACGTTGTATATTTTGAGCAATGAATATAAATAAGAATAGTAAAATTGAAATGATCGATGCATGTTTATCACATGATGAAATAGAAGCTTTACACAATTTGAAATCAGTAAATTTATAACTGAATGTTAAGAGGAATTTATATGCACTGTTATAAGTTAATAATTTAGTTATAAGTTTTCCTGAAGATGCTAATAACTTTTTTTGCTGGATTTCGAATCCTCGCTCAGTTGTTTCTTTTCGTTCGTTCACGATACCTTATTGATTGTTTACCTTTTGTTTTATCTTATTTTTTCTTGCAAATAGATACAGTCTCTTACGAAAAAAGTGATTGTGTATAATAAAATAGTATTGTGCTCGTGAATACTGATAAGAGGGGCAGGCTTTCCAAACCCTTCAAGCTCTTACGAACCGTCTTCAAATGGAAAGTTACTGGAAGGCATTCATTAATAACCACAGCAGAATTTATCAAGAAAACTGTTATTTAACAGAATCCGTCGAGTACTTCATGCAGAACTTTTACTATATGTATGAGGACGCTTACGTTAATGTTAAGACTGAACTCATGGCTCACTTGGCCATGTCTGGTGATTCTGACTCCTATGCATTGCGTGCACCGACTATTCAGGTGCTGCCTCAATCTGCGTTTCTTTCTATATTTAAGCTGCTACCTTCGTGCCTTCTTGACTCCTCACACTACCGAATCATATGAGTTCGCAGTGTTGTGAACTCCTTGCATACATAAGCTGCTCAATCTCACACAGTACTTTTGGTTATAGCTAGCATGATAGTTCAACCCAACGAGAGAATAGAGATACAATACAGTTGCAAGCTCTGTTGGATTCCAAAATTGAAGCTTCATACACATTCGAATGAACGATCCAGATTTTGCACTTGCACAAACAAGACTCACGTGTGCTTATCAATGATATTCATGGTAATATAGTAGGCATCTTAATGCAATGGTATTGCTGAACCTCATGTCTCCGTTACTAAGTAAATATATTCAGTCAGGCGGTTGGACACGCCTGGAAGGATTGGTATTGGCTAGTCCCTACTATCGTATGACGGATCGCATCAACTGTATCCTAGGAGCGAATATATATATATCCAGTCTTTCCCTTGGATGGTTTGCGGAGGGGTGGATCCAATGAACCGATTGCTTAGAAAGGGGGGGGGGAGAAGAAAAGGAAAGAGAGAGAGAGAGAGAAAGGGAAAGGGAAAGAGCGAAACATAAACAAAGAACTGTTTCATAATGTGAGGGTTGATAAACCATTCAAAAGAACCATACTATCAGTTGAAGTATGAAATTCTCTTTTTTTTTCTGCACTTCCCTTAAACTAAACTTGTCATTATACAGTTTTTTGATATTGAGAGACAACCTTGCCAAAGTCTATCTCGCTCTAATTAAACTTCGGCAGTTCAAAAGAGGACAATTTGAAGCTAAGTGGCAATAGCGGCGCGGCAGATAAAAGAATTCCCGATATGATTGAAAAAGCTGTCATTATGTAAAATACAGTAGTATTGTGTTTCCAGGTCGCGAAGCAGACAAAGGAATCGATTTCCGCTCAAAGAAAAGACGATTCATTTTTTCGGGAGGAAGGGTAAGAATGCTGCCACGGAAATCCACACGCGATTGCACCCACTGAGATGAAAAGTCACGCGCGCATTTTCGACGAACGATATCGAATTCCAGTTAATCGAGCGTACCTTTTTTCGCGCTCTCATGGATACATTCGTCCATAATATTTTCATATTGAAACTTTCTTTTCAATATTTCTTAAAGTATGAGTCTAATAAGCAATTTTTCCGATTGAATTAAAAAATGAAGATCATTACAGTGGGCATACATGTCTGGTATAATATTCATTGGGTTTGAACTAGGAATTCCGATATTGTACTTGCATACTTGTTATACACATGTGGAACATAGACCTGCATTTTCTCACAAATATCATCTTTCTCGTAGAATAAGACGAAAGAAAACAGAGCTGTCGCGTAAATCTTCATTTCGGAGAAAAATGCGCATCTGATATCTTTCGTATAAAAGAAAAGAGAGGGAGCGAATATGATAGGAACAAAACCTCATTCATGGCTTTTGCATATGTCTCCTCGTCAGGCAATATAGGCGTATTGAAGCTCATCTCTCGCAGTAATTCATCGACGATGTTTCTTCTGGCCGAATGACCTTGACTGGAGATACACCTGCGACCAAAAAGAAAGTGAGATCGATGTGATAACGGCGAGGAGAATTCGCCAACCCTCGGCGCCACTGCCACGTCGTAAGTGACGCTCGATTTGGCAGCTTAATGAATTCGAGCTCTGAGCTCTAGAGAAGTCGGTAATCGAGTTCATTAGCGCCTAGTCGAGTACGTAACGTGTGCCATTTGACTCCTTCCCGTGCTGCTCGATTTCCTTTTTCGGTGTCGTGAAAAATTGACCCGTTTTCTTTTTTTTTGTTGATTTGTGAACAGTAATAATTTAAATTGATTTACCACTGTACAAACTCGTTCACAACGATGATGTAACGATTTACTGATCGGATAATTGGTTCGAGACCCCTTTCCCTTTCTTTAGCTAAAGAATATTCTTGGTAAATTAGTAGTAGTACGCCAGTTTGGTCAGGCGGACAGCAAATTTGGACGAAAACTGAATTTTTTACATTTTCGTTATTTTTATTTCGTCTAAACTAGATCAAATTTTTTTTTGTTATATTATTTCATTTCGATTAAATATTTACTCGACAGATAAATTACAGAATGCTCTATACCTATATACATTATCGACATTGAAGAGTAAAGACCCATTTCAATTTATCATCGCGAAAAATATGTATTTTCCGTACTCAAATTATTCGTTTTATATCTCGTTTTACAAGTCATACGCCTTTAAAATATACACCAGTACACCAGTTTACTCTGCAATGATTTCGTTCAAATTCACAATCTTGAGGAGTTTTTGTGGTTTTCAATTGCATTTTTTGTTAAATTCTGTACGTGTAAATCTTTGAAGTTGCAATTTCTCACCTTTGGGGAGTACAAGGAACCTGTCGATTATCAAGACAGCAGCAGGTGACACAGTGAGGTACCACCACAGTTGGCCGTCTGCCACTCCGACGACGATTACTACGATGACGTGCCAGACTTGTCTCTGCTGCTAGAAGCTGTCGATAAATATTCGATTGAATGGTCATGATTTTGAGTGACGAGGGTCTGATTATTTTCTTTTTGTCTCTTTTGCTGCTGAGATTTTGAATAGCTGACAGATGAAGACTGTCAAGATTGGATGAACTTTTTTTAGTAGAAAACTGATTTTGCTGTATAATTACGCGATCACACTTAATGTAAAATTTATATAAATCTATCAATAGAAAGTTAATTTAAATTCGCATTGCATCAAACGCCATTTACACAACAAACGATCGAGTGGAGTAGAACGATTTTTCAACGAGTCTGGTTAAAAATGAATGAAAAGGTAATATTAGGTATTATTCGTGCCACGCAAGGATGAAAATTTAAAAACACAGACGGGCAACAGAAATTTAATACATTACGCTCGACTATATGTAGGCTACGAAAAAAATCTTCAGAAATTCTTTACGATCTAGAGTTGGAATGTAATAAAAAGAATGCAACAGAATAAATTTAATAAAGAAAAGATTACAAGTGATCGACAAACTTCTAACCTAAATCAATTAGGTTATGAGAGTGAGAAAAACTTTTGACATATTTTCTCTTTTCTAAGTCAGATATGCCTTGAAAAACAACACACATAAACCATTTCTAGTTACCATAAGCTGTACTGAAAAATCACAGAATGTCGAAGAGGAAACTCAGCTAGTTGAAAGAGACTGAATAATCATCCACATATAGAACAAAGAAAGAGAGAGAAATATTGATACTAACCACATCCTGTGCTTCGTCGAGCATCTTCCCGTTACGTCCCTGGCTCGCAAAACCCCCGGTGTTTTTTTGAATTGTATCGACGACACGAGCGCGGTGACGTGCGCGCGCTTTTGTCCACCCGCGCTGCCGTTAACGACGTCGCTCGTTCGCTTGCAAGTTCATGCGGATCGATTACTGTGGAATTTGCTCCTTCTTCTTCGTGCTACAATGGCGTCAATTAGACGTTAATCAACGCTGTTGTCCAAAGGGACTTTTGAAGCAAATGTTATTGCTTTCGTGGGCAATCGGATACTGATTTGATACTCTTGAACTTTTTTATTTTTGATAACACAACAAAACAACTCGTTCATTAAATTAAATTTCTTTAAAGTCCATTAAATTTCTTTCCAAGAATATAAAACTGAGTAGAACGCTGTAATATGATCTTATTGTTTCGGTCAAATTTAATTTGCGTCAGCAACAACCTATCAAATCATTAATTCATGACATTAGTGTTCCAATCGATGAGAATCCAAATTGATCGCCATAAAAATATAGAAAGTTAACCATTATTCCATTTAGAACGTGAAAGTGCTTTGTTCCTATTGCAACGTTTTCACGCAAGTCGCATGAAAAAAAAACGTCCTTGGTGCTTAACGCTGCCCTGCGTAAAAGACTAACGAAGCGTATGAAAAATTAAAGCCAACAGTCATAAGAACGCGTGTAAATTATGCAAGCCCAAGAGAGATTTTTATCCGACGAGGTTGCTCGAGCTCAAGCTGCTCCAGGGCAAAGGGTCGGCGATGAGGGATTAGCATTACGAGCTGAAAGCTTCGTTGGATATTAATCGGCCGTCGCGGCGCATAACCGCCGTGATATTGTCGCGCCTAGCAGTTGTGGAAGCCTTTTTATCGGGGCTGTCGTTCCGCTGCTACTGCTATTCTCGGTGTGAAAAGCTCACGTGTGCACGAAGCTATGAGTACGAAGTACGTAGAGGAATTAATAGAACAATAGTGTTCTCGAGGAATTTTTATTTTGAAGGTGCTCCGCGAGCTTTTTTCTGCCGCTCGCATGATATCGCGCAAAGCTCTATTGCTCGAGAATTTTGACGAAATTTACCCTGCGGCCTCGCTAAAATTGCAAAATACATTGGCTGCTTTTCAAAGGCATCATTCTTTTTTAATTTTCCGACTGCTCCGCGGGACTGAAATTCTTGAAGAAAATTGTATCTTAACGTCAGGGCCGAGAAAGCGCATAAGAGCAAAAACAGAAACGATGAAAATTGTCTCTTGCCGGAAGGCTTAATTAACGTAGATCAACACGCGTGAACGCAACTTGCGACACTCCCGCGCTAATCCAGGCCGAGTCTCTTCATCGGCAAATATGACGGGTGGATAACACAAAGTGAAAGACGAGCGCGGCAGAGGGAGGACTGCGCAGTAATACATTGGGAGCGCGCGCGAGGAAAAGGCGAGCTTTCTCCGAGGCATAATTTCGAATTCAAGTCTCGCAGGGCAAACATCGACATGGAGCTTAAAGCCGGTGCTCGCTCCTAATTGGTCGATCAACAAAATGAAGCAGCGGCGCTCGGTGCACCGCGAGCTCTACGTGAGCGAATTGGCAGCGGCGGCGACGGGACGAATGAAACGTGTCCCAGATCCCGGCGTCTTGCAGTCACCGAGACCCCAAGCCATTGGCATGGACAAGATGTACACGAGCACGAGCGCAGGTAAATTTATCGTCGAGGCGCTCAACTCTGCCAGTTTACACGGGCTCAATCAAATTGTCGCGCCAAGGCGACATACGTGTGAGAGGTAAGCAAGGATTCGTTATATTCTCTTCTTTCGCGCCCATGAGAACGGAATACAGGCTAAACGAAGCTTCTCATCGGCGTTTTTCTACCGAGGATCAATCATTTCATTTAAATCGTTTTTTTTTATCTTCTATCTAGCCCTTCTTTTATCCGAAGCATACAAATTTATTTACGCTTATTTCTTGCGCGCAGAATTTTCGTGATGTACGAACAAAACTCTTTCGAATATCATCTGCTGTCATCGTTAATACTTCAATTGCAGTCTTAGACTTTCGTAGTTAAAAATTATATAATTGAGATGGTGCTTCATCAGTTGCAAAGAAAAATCGAAATAACTTCTTGCTCCCCGAGCCTTTCGACCAAGGTAATGCTATTATTCCACCACGTCCCAAGGGAAAAATTAGTCTCTGACCCCTCGTAAAAGTCGCACTCGCACGCATTCGACAAATTTTGAGACTATAAAATTTAACTTTAATATAATTTATCATATTTTACTCCAAGATTTCTGGTCATTTTCATCATTATCGGAGCTCTAGGTGCTCTTATTGCAATGTCCATGGATTCGTGGCGTCGATATAGTCACGAAGCGACGTTGGTTGTTCTCGACAACAACTTCCGTAAATTCGAAATTTCCAAGCCATCGATCACCATTTGCCCGATCAATATTATCGACGAAGACAAATTTCCTGAGGTTCTGAAAAGGTACATGACTGATACAAATTTCAAAGAAATGTATTCAAAATGTTGATGAGAATTCAAACTATGTCTGAATTTTACATTGTTCGGATACATCGTGTCAGCTGCGACATTCACTGTCACATAATTGATTGATACTTGCTTATGAATATTTTGCATGCTAATAAGTAGCCCGTACGGCATGAAAAAGAGCATAAACACTGCGTTAGAAAATTAAAACAGCTGTCAAATCCTTCATCGTAGCTCGCTACACACGAAATCACAAATTTCACGACAGCAGCATTTCTTCGCATAAAAGCACAATGAATAATGAAAGACTACTTTAAAACAAAATGTATACACATTTATTCTTTCATAAACACAAGCTTGCTCACAACGAGTTTCCTGAAAATTAAATTTATCGTAATTCGTCCATCCGCTTTACATCTCGCAACAGTATTGCAACTTTTTAATCGATCTTTACGTCTGTCTCTCTCTCTCTCTCTCACACACACACAATCGAGGTACAACGTAACCGACACACCAGATGTGCGCAACTTCATTCTAACGCTGGCGAATCTGACGTCGTATCGCAGTATCGTGGAACTGCCGATCGATGCGGATTTTACGGCTGTCCCAGCGGAACTCTGGCTGCAGCTGCTCGTGGAATTGCGTGGCAATGTCGAGGTCGAATCTCTTTACTCGGGCGAGCGGTACGACTGGGTCAGCACCGAACGCGGGTTGTGTATTATGCTTGCCTCCCCCATTTCACGGGATATTTCAGTATAGTGAGTGATTTTCTTTTCTTTTCCTTCTCGATATTTTTTTCTTGCGGAGATCGTAACAAGGCTTATAATAAGACATCTTTTCCGTTTGCGATTGAAATTAGCGTTTACGATTGTATAATCTGGACGCGCTGGAAGTTAACTTTTTCACGAAGATCTTTAACGGTAGCAGTGCATAGCATTTTTCCCGACGTAGATTAAAGATACGAAATGAGAAAAAATGCGATACCTGTATACCAACGTGAAAATAAATAATCAATAACTTTATCGCATTTCAGCAATTGGCTATCCAACAAAACTTCGAGCTCTCAACGAAAACAGAAAATTAAAAAATCATATTACAACATGAAAAATTTCGCAGCTACCGGCTCGATTACTTGTAAAACTCATGAATTTTGGGTGAGTTTCATTAGTTGCTCACATGTCATCGTACATTTAATATGAAAGGCGCATTTTCGCGTAAAGGCTTTCAACTCACAACGGGCGCGTTTCAAAAGTAGATTAAACTTCTTGATACCACGACGCGGTGGAACTTATTTGAATAAACTACAATTTTCCAATAATAAATCATTCACTTTGTTTGACACTTTCGAGAAGTTTTACCAATTCAGATCTTTGAGTACAGGCGTGAATACAAAAATTTGACGATAGTCTTGTCACGACTTCGTTCAGAATTCGAATAAATCATGCAAATAATTATTTATTATAAGGAATTTACTCTTAATCGAGTTGATCACGTGAGAGAAGAAAATGCTAACGGTAGGCTAATGTCATCATTCGGAAAATCAAAGAAGAAATAGTCTCTAAAAATATCTCTTTAAATATTAAATATCGCCTCGCCGAGCCCACGGAAAAGAATCAGAAATTCACCCGATCAGCAGTTTTGTAATTGCAGTGAGTACGAAGAAGAGTCGCTCAATATAATCCCTTAATATAGATGAGCGTGCATCATCCGGACACGGTGATAGATCACACAACAAGCGGCCTGATAATACGCGGGACCAGCTTGAATTCGCTGACGTTGGAGATCGTGGAAGTTTCGAGCTCGGCCAGTGCGGCTCGGTTGCCCGTGGGACATCGTAACTGTAAGCTACCGACAGATGGAGGACTTGACACGTGGCCTATTTACACCCAACGGATGTGCGAGCTCGAATGTAGATTTAAGCTCGCAATCAAGGTGTGCGGCTGCTTGCCTCATTTTGCTAAGCCTATGGGTGAGTTCCTATTTGTTTCCTTTCTTTGTGCCCAAGATACGACATTGAATTTATTCCGTACTTTTCCGTGACTGCAGAATGACATGGAGTTTAATGACAACTGCCTAGAAAATGAATGAGTATATATTAAAAATGTTGATAAATAAATTTGAAAAGGCGTTAAATAATACGCAAAAATGCCAAAAGGACCCCAATTTCCTCGGACAATTACGTCAAAAGTTAAAAATTAAGTCAAAAAACCAACGATCATGAATGCATTTGATAAATGAAAATATAACACCAATCCGCAGAGACTGAATTTTCTTTGACAAGTTGAATACCATAAATATAAATATCATCTCTCTCACTCTCTCTCTCTCTCTCCCTCTTTCTCTCTCTAAAAAAAAGAAAAAAGAAATAGCCGATAGATATTGTCAGCTATTATTTCCACTGCGCTCCATTGTTTTCGAGTGCGCAATTTCGCGCTCACTTCTGTCTTTTTGTTTTGAGTTACGAGCTTCCACTGTCTTTCGGTCAACTTCTTTCTCGGGAAAAATTTAATGCTCTGAAAGTTTTGTTGGCGCGCGACGAATTTCATCTTGTTTCAAAATAGGATTTGAGCGGTTTCACACAGGACGAAGTTACCCAGCTACACGGCTTTAAATGAAAAGCCCACGGAAAAGTGATATGCTTTGTCCTCCCCCCCCTCTCCCTCTCTCTCTCTCTCTCTTGTGGTGAATGTCAAGCTTATTGCGGGCATGCGGTTATTGTGAATTTGCTACCAAGTGATCTCTGGAATTTCGTGTTTAATCAATAGAACTCGAGTATATTTGTTTACACAAACTATTCTGCCTAAAAAAATAAGAATTATTTTACAAGAAATCATTGACAGAGGGTATCCCAACATGCAACGCTCGGCAGTTGGTATGTATCGCCAACCACGAGGAAGAAGTGGTACACCTAAAGGGCTCGAAGTTAAAGAGATGCGGTTGCCTATCGGATTGCAATGAAGCCATCTACGTTGACAAAGAATACACCTCGTTCAGATTGTAAGTCACTTAACAGCTACAAAAATTCTTTTTCAACTTTCTAACTAACTTTTACAGGAATGACGATTCGCCACCAGATGCAATAATCAATCTACATCTAGATTTCCCGCAGGTCAAGTACATCCGGGATGAATTGTTCAGCTTCTCTGACTTCTTGGGTGAGTATACTTGACGAAGAAAAAAACAAAAAGCTCTTCTTTTTCCGTAATGAAAGGCACTTTTTCTCGATTTTTTGTTGTGGAATATAATAAGCCTCGATTGGAGGAGCAGCTGGATTTTTCCTTGGCGCGAGCGTTCTATCAGTCTGCGAGATTCTCTACTTTGCCAGTCTGAGACTGTTGGTTTACCTGGTTGAGGAAAAACGCAAGGAGAACAAGATCAATGAGCTACTGCGAGGTTACAAGTAATCTTGCAGATTGCATCTTTAGATTCTATTTTTTCTCTTCTTATGACGCCGCCGTGGTTGATGTGAAATTAATTAAAGTATTTATAGTAATAGTATTCATAGTCTTCGACTGCGATTCAAATGAATTTGAAATAAGAAGAAAAACATGACGAGAGAGTAGAGTGTTTCTCACTGAAATTCCTCTCTCGAGTTTTCCGCTGAAAAATCTTCAACTAGAAACTCTCTTCGCGAGAACGAAAGAAGCGATAAGCAACCTACAAGCAAAGTAGATTTATATTTCAACAAGCCGGAGGAACTTTAACTTCCGTGTAGTTTATAGCACCGAGTGAAAGTGTCAAGCTTAAATTCATCAATTGAATGTTCTTTTTGCCGATGAAAAAAACCTGTGCATTATGCGCGATAAATGTTGTGAAAACTTATAGAGATTAATAAAAAGAAATATTTACAAAATAGGATATTTATTAGTATTTTCTTTGAGTAACCGTTAGACAGTATTTGCATATACAATTATTCAACGTAGTACAGTAATACATATAGACGATATATACTGTATATATGTATAGTAATACATATATACAATAATACATATATACATCCACTTCCAAACAGACCTCTTTTAACAAATATACAGTCGTATAACTTTTTTTCGGTATAAGCCGGGCTGCAGAAGCAATCTAGGGGGGATGGTCGAGGTGGATGTATCTATATCTATATAAACGAGGGCGTAAAAAGAGGCTCTTCAAAAGGATGCGAGGATGTCTGCAAATGGAGTTCCGGGAGTCTTTGCTGCATCCTCGAACGTTTTAATGAAAGTCTCTTTTTGGGACTCGTTGGTCAGCTGCGAGAGAAGCATAAAATTATATATAAATCTCGAAGTAGCTACTTCTTAATGAGACGAAAGCTTCTTTTTTCTACCAACCTCCGAGTAAAAATCTGAAGCCGCGAGACACAGGATTTTTTTATCCTCGTTTTCGTACTTTCCAATTCTCGACTGCACATGTGGAAATCTAAATTAAGTATCGAAGCTAAGGATTAATTGTTTTGTATTCTGGAACAAAAACTCGTTACTATTTGTAATTACAAAAAAAGGATACAAAGCGCGGAGCCAAGGATTTGTTGATGTGCTTATGAAAAAACAGGAGAGGCACCAAGTAGACATTATAAGTGGTAAGCTTTGAATGAAGTTTTGAATGCTGAAAACTACCCAAGTTTGTAATAATCCCAGCTGAGTGCTATTGCACGCTCGTTCACAGACCTGCATAATTAATACAATTTAACTCATTTTCAAGTGCTTACTCTTGCTTCATACTATATGTAAATATTTTCTAGTTATCATAACTTCAAATCAAATAAAAAGTAATGAGAAATAAAAATTATTTTTAATAAAACTGGCCTTGAAAACAACAGCAGACATCAATCTAGGATGAGGTTGCTGCGGCGATAAAAATTCTCCGATGACTTTCGTAAGAATCTCTAACGGTGGGAAAAAATCAATCAACACCTCCGACAATACAGCACATAGAATCTCCACCTCTACAGCATAACCCTTTTTGATTTTATCAAAGATCGCCGATGATCTCTCGATCGATCTGACCAGTATTTCCGGTTCGATATCAGGCAACTGAGATTCATCGTCGGGTGGGCGATTAAATTTATCGGCTGTATCGGTGTACATACAGGTGAGGAAAAGCTGCAATGCAGGCAAGGACAGCGTGGGATTCGTTTGTCGAAGACGCTCGATTGAGATCTTAACCACTTGTTCGGAAACTTTTCCAATTACACTCTTGGTTGCCACCAAACGCTCCAAACCCTATGCAAGATTCCAGTATAAAACTTAAGTATATTTAGACATTTTCAAGACACTCTGAGACAAAAGCAATACGTATTACGCGACTTTTGGAACGAAAGACAAGTTTCGCAACCTCGTTTACACTCTCCGACAAAGTTTCATACGGTTACCTTATGAAAGGTAAGTTTTTCGTGAGTCGATTGAATTTTGAGTACATCATCAATATTAATGGTCTGCGAAAGTTTGACACGCTAGCTAGATATCAAAGATCGCGTTAAATATTAAATTTTATTTAAAAAAATCATAGTTGTCTTGGTACGTATTTTGCATGAGAAAATTTAAATACCTGAAGTAGCATACGATGAAGCGAAGTTGAAATATTTTGTGAAGAAACGAGTGACATTATCAACTCTAATACTGCGGGAGCCTCGACATCCGGTGGTGAACCTTCAGCATGCTCGAGTAAAAAAAACACAAGAGACCATAAGACACATTGATGCTCTTCGCTTTGACTCGACACTCTAGGAAAGTCAACGAGATAAATTAAGCAACAAAGGTAATTTAAGTTTGGAAACTCTCGTAATAACAACAAACGAACTTCGTTGAATCTTGAACGTCGATATGACGTTGTATATATTCAATGACCAACGGGTGTACGGCGCTCATGGTTTCCTCGCAGTTCGCCAAAACTGCACTTTGCAATAAATACAAAATACCGTGCAACGTGGCTATTCGCATCGACAGTGAACCGCACTTCAAACTTCCGTCGATTAAACGTTTCACTTTGTCCATGGTTTCCGCATCCTGTAAACACAGTATAGTTTGCAATGTTAATTCTGTTAAGTGAAGAGACATTAAGTATAATCTAAAATAATGATGACAACAGTTGAGTTCGATTATTTTTTGTATTTTTTCGAGTGTTAGAGCTCTATATTAAAGTAAAAAATGAAATTCGGAAAAAATATAAAAGTGCACTTGAATGAAAAAAAAAATTTTCTTTTGATTAAACGAAATAATGCAAACAATCGTCCTTACCAAAGGAGTAAGAACAGCAGATGTCTTGCAAATAGAAACAATTAAATGTCTCCTCAGTATTTCGTCCTCGACCTGATGATTCTTCCACAATTCCATACACGACTCTAGCATCCACTGAAACTGTGATCTTTCGACAAACAGTTCCGAGACGAGTAATAACGAACGCACAATTTCGTAAAGTAATCTGAGCGATAACTTGTTCCCGGGACTTAACCACGAGGCATATAATTCCAATAAAAATCTCACGCATGAGTTGACATCGAGAGACGATGCAGCTAAAGCTTCGTCTCTTCGCTTCTTCAACGCCAAAGTTGACGAGCTTAGTTTATCCTCGTGCAAAGAACACTGAGACCAAAGATACGAGATCGATAGTTGTTCGTAGCAGTGGTGGTGCGAATCGACGGTACGAGGCTCGAGATTACCGCGTTGAAAAATGTGCTCTAACTGTGGCATTCCTGAGTCCGTTGTCGCGATCTCACTAAACGATGCAAAAAGAAGCAACGTGAATTCGAAAATTAATAGTTAAATAGTCGCGTAAATGTACCTGTTTTCATATTTCCACAGCAGCAAATTCTGTACGTAAAGCAACCTCTTCGTACTCTTTTTAGCCAACGACAGCTGAGGATCACGAGGATGATGTATAGACGTGCCATTATTCGGGTTACCGGGACAAGGAAGAATAAGGGTTTGCATCAACAGTTGAGTAATAGCTTGAACCGCCAAACTTGCAGTATGACTGAGATTATTGGCGACGTCCGAGTCCGTTTCGCCTTGCATTTGTGAGACGTTCAGCACGCCTAGCAGTACCATCCAGATCTCTTCGAATTGTTGTCGCGAACTCCAACCGAGTAAGGACACGCGATATATAAATTCCTCGAGTACGTCCAATTCGGGAATGTAATTGGGCTCCGATAAAAATAGAGTGAAGTGGCATCTGAGGAGAACATGAATATTATTTCGAATCGAGAGAGAAAATGTTTAGAAAAACTTACTTTGTCGGGCCGGATCCAACGATGTTGCATCCGTGCTTCCATAGCAAGGGTGGTGTGAGCACGAATGAATTGACCAACGGATGCCTAGCTACGCTAATAATCAAACTCTTCAACAGCTTTTCGAAATACTCGGGAATATTATCTTCCTTTTCCATTCCTTGTCTTGTCTCGAGCCAACAGACTAATCTTGCCATCCTCAGACACGTAACACCGAACTTTCGCGTGTTCTCATCTGCCATCGTCTCCTTTAATCCACTGCATTCCACTAACGCATCGTCCTTGCGATTGTCCGCAAAATATTGAATGATTTCCGTAAGTGCCGCAGCAGCCGAGCATATCCAAGTATTGTTATTACCAAATACTCGACTTATCGACGTGTCGCTGAAAATTACGCTGGCGCACTTGAGGACAAGCTCGAGCTCGCGAGGACTGACACTGGCGTTGATAACAAGGTTGTGAGCGGTCTCGAGGCACAGCAGGCCAAAGTTCGCAAGGGTTTCCTCATGGTCGGTCTCCACCACTTTCAAGTGCTTCGCTTGAGAGTTCAGGTATGCTGTTACCGATGGCACGAGCGAGAAGAGTCTTTCACGAAATGCATTGCTCGAGAGCTGATCAGTCAAGTTTTTCCAGTACGGACTTTCGGTCCTATGTAGTTTTTTTTTTCTTTTTTTAATCAAAGTTTCTCTGTTTTGAAAGTTCAAATTGAGTTTTTCATGTGATATTAAAAAGAGATACGTTACTTTGTTTGCTGGCGATGCGTAATGTTTGTCGTATTAGTTACACGGAGATTATGTAGGATTTCACAAACTCGTTGGGCTATGTGATGCTTCGTTGCCGTGTATAGAATACTTTCCGTTGCCGTAGAGTCGTTGAGCTCTAATGAAAAAAAATGAAGTTACGCGGCTGATTGAAAACTGACTTTTATCACTTTTTTTCTACAACATTAACTCTTTCGAAGAAAAGTCTTATGTAAGTGTAAAACACTTTTAAAAACCGCATGAAAAAGGAAAACTTTATCTTACCAGCTTCTTGAACTGCTTGTGCAGTTAATCGAGCGCCAATTATCACGCATTCACGCAGCAGCTTCACGTTGAAATCTTTCGTCGAGAAGACGTCGAGGCACTCGTTCAAGCTCAAGTGGCTCAAAAGCCATGCTGATTCAAAGCAACTGTAACCCACGTATGATTGGCAGCATCGTGATTTTACCTTTGAAATTTTTATTTTTATTTGACATTGTCAAGCTGTTCTATTGAATGAATTTTTGTGTAGTGATAAAAGACTACACAGTGTAGTTGAGAAAAAGAAATTAAAAATAATACCTGCAATAAAAACCAACTACGATCAAGTGTAATAGCTTTAATCTCTTTTGGATCGAATGAATTCGAATAATCTAACCGCAAAGGTTCCAATTGATAATGATTGGTCGCCAACTTGTTCAACAAGGCAACCAACGCCTCATGTTTTTTAATCAGTCCATCTTTTCTTAACTCTTTCATCATCCCCTACACGTATAAAATAATTTACCTCTCGTATTCTTTCTATAAAACTAAAAAAAACACTTACCTCAAAGGCTTCCCTCGTCATTTGCATCAATGCTTCATTCTTTCCAAGTGCAAGCAGCACTTCAACTCTTCTACTAGCAATCTTAGCAGCCATCCTTGACAACACCAAATACTTGGATTTCAACAATTTCGGTACTAACGTCAACAGTAATAGTCCAGACTGACTCTGATGCGCGCCTTCGAGGCACTGTAATAGTCTTTTAACGAAAGACGGTCGACCGTTACACGAACACTTATCACCGACAGCGCGTAAAAACAAACCACTGGCTCCTGCATCTCGATGCACAGCTACGGTAAGCAATTCGCGAACTGGAGATTCATCCGCTAAACTTATCATCGTCTTTACGTGGTGGTTGAGTAACCAGCCAAGTCGCGCAGAATCACTCGTTGCGTTCTCGCAAACGTAATCACAAAATAGAATAATTGATGCTCGTCGTTGGATTTCGGTGTTTAACGATAGAAGCGGTAGCTTATGCAATTGCTGAAAGAATATCAGTTATTAATAATCCACGAAAAAGTCGACAGAGACTTTCAAAATTTACCTGTGCGGATCCAATAGCTCTGGACCAAAAGCTCATGTCGTTAAATTCAAGAATCATCAGCAAATAAGTCCATTGACAAGTTAGTACTGGACAGTTAGCACCAATTTCCATCATTGCCTCATTCAAAATGTTCAAATGTAACTTTTCATTTAAAGGAATATCGTGTCCTTGTATAAGCTGCATACTTGCGTTGGCCAATTTACAGTGACTGCCAGTTTCAAACATGTAAATACACAGTTGCAAAAGTAAAGCAAACTGTTGTATTAGGTACTCGATATCACGATTACTCGTAGAATCATTAAATAATTTAGAATTAGCACCCTGATAAAGTTCCGTAAGCACCGAGCTCATAGCTCCAATAACTCTGAATATAAATCTCGAAAATATCCTCTCAGGTGGCATAGTGAAAGACTCTAAAATTCCGGATACATTTAAGGGATCTCCGCTGATTGGCCGGCTAGAATCTGGTATCAAGAGTATTTCCGGTAAATCGATTATTGAAGCTGTTACGTCTGATAACCTTGCCAACATAACTTCTTCCTTCGCGTATGAAATTATCGACAGTATCATGACGTTCACTATGCCTATCCAACGTTTGAAATCGAAAATTGTTTTGCTCGTCAAAAAAATATAATGCTACGAAAAAAATGAATTATTCTTTTTATAAATTACAAATTCATTGAATAGTTTATTGTGTTGAAGTGTCTTTACCGGTAGCAAACTATTCCCTACACTCGGCGGGGTCATAAATAATACTTTCAGAAGTGGATCAATAGGTCGAAATACCGTTGGCGAAACTGATGATAATAATTTGACGAGGGCAAAGTGAGCCTGTTTTGACTCAAGCCTCAGCTTTCGAGACGATAGCAATGGGAGGACAGTGTCTATAGTCTGTCTCGACCACTTTCTCCATTTCTCTTCGCCATTGCCATCGTTGCTGAGCCTTGATTCCGTTAAGCATCTTGCGATTAGATCGATTATCTGCAATCGATAATTTTATTTTAACGGCTTTAAAAAAATAGGAGAATTTTTTGATTACCTGTGGATATTCAGCCAATCTCAACATCATAGATATCAATACCTCCCTCGTAGTCTCAAGCTCCTTTTCCTCGTTAATATTCGACGACGGATTTCGTGCTAAGAACATCTCTTCGACAACCGGCACCAAAGCAGGAATGCAGTGTGATAATGGTGGTCTTCCACTTGCCATCAAACCATCGCACAATTGTATAATCTTAGGCACGCCAATTATGAGTTTCGAGTGATACTTCTCGTACGATAATCGTACCAAAAAGTCAAAGATTTTCGGCAGCAACATTTCCGTTTGTGATATGTGTCCTTCTTCAATAAATTCGAATTGCTTCATCACGAAACCAATGAAGATCTTGTCAGAGTCCATTAGACAGTAGTTTATATGCAGCTGAACAAGTTGACTTAATAGCATTAATACTTGGCATTGCAGGGGGATCGAATTCGAAATCGTATACTGAATGAGTGACTTAATAACTAGGGGCTCGAAGAGACGAATGAAAGAACTAACGGAATTCTGATCGGAATTTCGTCGAAGAATCTTGAGAATCGATGAAGAGTTATGCTCTTCCTTTCGATGCAATGCGGCAACAGGTCTGGAATCAATTTGATGATTATTAATTTTATATTCAATAATTTAATTTAAAAAAGAAAAGCATACCTATGGCTTGAGTCAGGGTCGTTACCACCTCTACAATTACTACCAATTCTCTTGATCCTCTCACTGATAAGCTTAGCTGGCCTCTGGAAGCATTGTTCATAAAATCCCTTCTCCACCTCAACATTTCCCTCGTCTACTGCAGCCTCTTTTTTTTCTTGTTTGCATTGCACCTCGTAAATTTCTTGCCACCTAACAATCAAATTAGTTCCGAACAAGCACTTGAGCAACTGCCTAACACACTGAATAGTCATTGTACTCGATAATAAAACTGTCGACTGCAAATAATGCAACAACTCCTCGGCTAATCTGCCCCCTTCATTGACCGTCGCAACTTCGAAAATCTGCGACAGTACTTGAAGAACAGTATTGAGAAGACCGAGATATAATTCACTTGCTTCTTGATCGAGTGTCGTTTGATAATTCGAGTGAGCTGCTTTCAGTAACTCATACAAGCGTAGATAGTGTGAATGGTTGGTAATAGAGCCTAAAGGATCTTTACCGAGGAAACGAAATGATAGTCGGTGATGTTCTGAAGATTTCTCTGGATTGGAAGTTTTTGATTTAGAGGATATGTCTGGGAGGAGCTTGCGCTTTGGTGAAAGTGATTGAGCTGTTGAGAGGGACGGCAAGGAAGACTTTGATACTGGTTGAATCGGCTGGAATTTAACACGAATCAATTAATTATTAATTGAACCAACCATGTGGTTGTTTTAAATCAACTTACTGAAGGTAAATCTTCGACGACATGATGGAAAATATTCAACACTCTCATCAAGTGCATCAATAGCTGCTCCATGTTTTTTGAACTTTGCTTGTCCTTGAAAAACATCCAGTACTTAAAGTCACTCGCAGATTCAGCTTCATTCTTGTTATATTGAGAATTCTCTTTCGGTCGAGCGTGACTGCAAGCAATCCCTGACGCTAAATTACCAGCCAAAAGTAGTAAATGTCGATGCATAGAGAGATCATGACTAAGCTGCGATGATGTAAGCATAATTATCGATTGTGAAAATAGACTATTGGATATTGAAGATAAAATTTCGTTGGTGAATCCTAGAACATTTTCATTCAGTATAGTTGAGAAAAAAAGAGTCAATTTTAAATGTACTCACTAGGACAAATATCTGCAGCCTCGCTTCTTGATACTTTTTTCGTCGTTTTTCTAACATCTCGCTTGCCAGCTAGTACCACATAATCCCAAGCTTTGGCATAAACACTCGTCGCGTAAGTCTCGCTTAATAAACTCAACGTCTCACAACAGCCATAAGCTAAGTACTTTGACGAAAACACAAGTAATCTGTCAGCTAGCAAACCCAGTATTCTTGACAACGCCTCTTCATGAGAATTACGTTTTGGTGGTTGAAACAAAGCATCATATGGTTTTGTTAAGCTACTAATTAACAACTTGTGCTCGGTATAGGTCGACGTTGTTGGAGACTCGAGCATCGCAGCTAAATGATAGTCTGCGTAGTAACTTGCTTTGCGGGTTACCGAATCCTCATAGGGGCTCTCATAGTATAACGATGGGATTATTCTAAAAATGGTCAATTGTAAAAAAACAAATTGACTAGTGTTTCATTTATAGAAAAATTAGAAAAATTACTCACTTCACAATAGCAGTACCAGCTGCTTTTCGCACCCGTTGATCTTGATCGCTAAGCAACCTCAATAAAACATTAATAATACTTTCTTGAAATTTGATATCGCCAGTCACATATTCTATCGTTGTGTAAGGTAGATCACTAAGAATTTCTGTTAACTTAATTTTGACAAGAAAATACGGATTCTGTACGAGACACGGTAGCACGTTTAAAATAACAATTGCGTACTCGCTTTTGTTAGATTCCAAGAGACTTGGTAAAAATACACCAAGGGATGTTAGAGTCTGACGGCAGGTAGTTGCAGATTCGTCTTCAAGACCCTGAAAAATTGAATTCATAATATATTGGTTTTTCGACATTTATAAAAAAATTGAGATAACAATACCTTTAATATTAATTTAATGAGATTCCCCATCGTAACGCAATGTTTTTCATTATCTTCTTCAAAATACCTTTTATTGCACACTAGCATGCCTTGCAAAAAATAACCAATCATCATCGACAAATTTCCCCTGATTTGTGGATCCGAGTGGTCAGCAAATAATAAGATGTCAGAAATCATTTGAATTTCTTCGTTTTTACTTGGCGAATTCGACAGAGTCTCCAAAAAAATATCCGGATGAAACTTTAAAATATTACCCAAACATGTCAGCGCCAAGGACTTTACACTCACACGACATAATTTATCGGAAATAAGTTGGTTTGGAGTGCCTGTGAGTAGAAATGAAGAAACTAAAAGACGACTGCAATATCGAAGTACAGGGGCATTGTCAGTGAAACCACCGATAGCCAAATCACGTTGCATCATGAATTGATCTAACGAGAATTCGTGTGTTGACATTACAGACATTGTGGTCTCGTCGAGTTCCTCTTTTTTTAGATCTAGATATAGAGATAAGCTCGTGTCTATTGGTTTTTCGAATCTATCAACGTCGCTACTTGCATTACTTTCTACCTCGATATCTTCGTCTGCAAACAAGAAACATACTTATCGATTTTGAAATTGATTTCAAATTGATGATAGAAACTGAATATTACTTTCGATAGATCCGATTATAAGACCGCTGTAATCTTCCAAATCTTTGGTATCGATAATTTGACTAGAATCTGATTCAAGAGTCTGATTCTGATCTACTCTACTTGATATTTTATGTGTTACTGGCACCACATCTGGAATATCAGTCATCCATTTCTCTACTTTAGGAGCTATCTCTGGAATGTCCATTATATCAGATTCAAGAAGACTACTCGAAGATTCCAAATTATCCTCGGACGCAACAGTGTTTGACAGACTTATTCTACTTGGCCATTTTTTTCCTCTCTCCTTCAATTTATTTACACGCTGTGTTATGCCCTCCTTTGAAAGCAGAGATGCTATAACATTTTTAGGTGGATTTTGTAGCAGCTGAATTAGAGTCTCCAGAGCTGCATTTATCACATTATGATTTGTATAGAATTTGGCATAGAATAAACAAAGTTCATATATACAAATGTAATGATTAAGTATATGATCTTCATTAAAATCTTGATAAAAATCTGAATTAGCATCAATACTAGGTAATAATAATCTCAAACATGCAAAAACACCAAACACTGTATTTACATGATCATTTTTTCCTTCATTTTCATCGGTTTCTTCATCAACAAATCGAGACAACATATCTAAAATAAAATAAAAATTGTTTAATATTAATATTCCTTTTATTATGCTACTTCCTTATTATTACCTAGTAATTGTTCTATTACAAAATTTATAAAGAAATAGGGTCTGCGGGAGCTTAAACAAGTTGTTAAAATCATATTTGCTGATGCTCTTCTTAAAACAGCTTCATTTGATGTAACATTTTGAAAGAAAGCTTTCAATAATATCTGTTGAAAAGTAACAATATTTTTAATTGTGAAATTCATTTTCATTCATTTGTCTAAAAAACTACTACTCACTTGTATATCTTTATCAGGAATATAGTGGCCTAATGTTTTCAGTATTAATGGTAATGATTGTGAAAGAGTTTCTATAAGTATGTCTTCTTTACGTTTAGCTATTTCTAAAATGCATGGAGTCAATTGAGAAGCAAACACTTTAGCTTTAACAGGCCTGATCATATGGCTAAGCAGTCCAAATCTCCATAATGCTGCTTTTAAACAACGAGCTGCTCCATTCCTTTTGATTTCACGGTACAACTCAAATTGTACTTTCAATACATAACTGTCAGATACAGCCTAGAAATCAATAAAAAGTTAATACAAATTAATTTTATACATCTTAAGTGAATATAAAATTTATAAAATTTACTCTGATTATTTTATTTAGGCACTCATCTGCAACAGTTCTCACATCTGAATCACTATCATCACACAAACACAAAAGAGTTTCAATAGAAAGATTTAATACTTGAGGTGCAGTTTTCACAGTTGATAATGAAACTCCACTTGTTAAAACCAGGCAATTGGATATTTTTTCTTTTTTCCTATAGATTATATATAAATACAATTATAAAACATATTATACAATTATAAATCTTTATATAAACAATAACAAACAATATGGTTAATATTTACTTCGTGTCATGGTCAGGTGTCAATTGTTCATTAAGTTGTAAACTTCTTAAATTTTCCACAGCCTTTGCAATTAAACCAAATGTAGCCATTTCTATGACAATGCAAGTAATTTATTTGTCTGAAAATCTAATCACAATTAAAAATACCTACTCCAATCAATAACAGTTCATTAAGTATTCAATTTTAATACAAGATAATTTATTGATTTAAAAGTTCAACTTTTCACAATTATAGTAATTGAAAAAATTTTAAAATGATTAAGAGAGTATTTACCTATTAATCAACAAATTTACAGTAGTCTGGAATATTTTTATAGTCAATTAAATTTATAAGCTGTGCTAATTTGAACGTTTGCTAATTACGAATACAAATAAACACATTAATTTTTTTCAACACTGGACCTATTATTTATTGTCATTTCTTAGAACAAAAACACTTATTTGATAAACAGAAACTGGAATGCATGCATAGCAGGTGTCGCGACGTGTTAAAAAAAGCAGATGGCAGCAAGAATCAACTGTACGAGTAGTGTTAGATTATAGGTTATACAAATTACAATGTATCTGCCTATATACAGTTATAATTATCCGAATATCGTGAAGGTTAGTGTTAGGTTAGGGCTTACGCGCGTCTGATGCTTCGTCTCAGGTTCGGGTTAGTTTGACCAGACATGATGTCAACTTTTGTTTTTAATCTGTTACTTTAACACATTGTAATGGAATTACATAGGTTATATGTAATCAAATATCTGCTAGTGTGATTGTGTTACTCACCAACACACATTTTGTTGGACAACTTTAAAATACAATAGTGTAATAATATTCAATATTTAAATCCTATAAAGTAAAATTGGAAATCGTGAGCAATTTTTCATTCTTACCCTAAACGAATAATATTATTGTATTTATACTAGAAATAATACATTTTTTGGCTTACTTTTTAATTAGTTATCTTAAAAACCTGACAGTTTTCTTAATAGTTTAATAATAGTTTTCTTATGTCGTAAAATCAACGTATAAACAAAGGTTATTAGAATATTCTATGAGAAAGTGCAAATATACTAGTAGTAAATGAATGAATTTGTTTGTCTTCTGAGATTTTGAAATTACTATATCAAATAAAAATAAAGATTAATTTTTAACATGCTATTAAATTCACTTTTTCATTTGAATTTCAAATCAGTGTTATATATTAATTAATTTGGTTACATTTAGCTGTAATTAACATTAACAATTCATATTTTTATTTTTATTTTATTGCAACACTAATTTTTATAAAAACTTTTATTTCAGAATTACCATTTGAATTATTACAAAATAAATATGAAACTATAGTATTCAAAGTATTAAAATATTATCAAAGTTATTCTAAATCACAACTATCAAAATGCCTGGTTGTGCAGCAATAGGTTGTAATAATCGAAGTGAGAAAGGTTACACAATGAAATGTTTTCCTCGGGATCCAAACTTGAGAAACCTTTGGAAACAGAGAGTAGGAAGAGCTGATTGGGAACCATCTAACAACTCATTTCTCTGTCATACCCATTTTGAAGCAAATCAATGGGTATTGACACCAAGTGGGAGAGTGAAATTAAAAAAAGGTGCTGTACCTTCCATATTTACAGTAACTTCCACAAGGAAATCTCCCAAGAAAAGGCAAAAACTAGGATCTCAAGAAATAATTGAAGAGGATTTTGATGAAGAGTATGAGGTTGAATTTTTGGATGGCGATCGACCTATCATATTAAACTTGCCTAATCAGACTGTTGTGCCAAATTATATTAATGTACAAACTCAGGTAAACATAATAACTTTCCACTATTTGTGTTATCATACAAAGAATTTTAGTTTATCATATTTTTATTTGTAGAATGCAGTGATACCAACTGGCCAATTTTTACAAAATATTAAAATTGTAAGTAGTGATGCCTTGAAGGATTTGAGAAATGAAAACATAATCATTGTATCCGATGAGAGTAGTAGGGAAATTGGAAAAATAGTAAGTGATAATAACTTTATATTTTTAAGAAATGATATAGGAAAAGAAAATGTGCACATTTTGCCACATTCAGAGAAAACTACTAGTGCATCAAGAATTAAAGTAGAAGTGAAGGAGGAAGTAATTGAAAATGGTTTAAGTAATGATGACTATGATCAAATTGAGAGGAAACTTGAAGAAATTTGTCAATCTGGAAACGAAACTGATTATTCTAATAATGCTGAAAACACTAGAAAAATAAATAGTCAATCAATTGAATCAACTAGTACATTTAGTTTGGATGACCTAGAAAATGGTGTAGATAGTACAAGTGACAATTCAATTCAAGAAACAGAATTAACCATCACAAAAACAGGTACTAAGCGCAAAACAATAAAAAAAATAGAATCTCTAATTGATAATAGTGTCATAGCAACTAGTCAAATTACTAATGAAATTGATGATACACGACTACCAGAAAATATTAGCAATATCATTCAAGACCTAGAATCAAACAAGTCTGCAGAATCGAGTGATGTACAAACCAAATCTGTTTCTTTATTGACAAGTGAAACTGTTCAAAATACTCAAATAATTAAATCAAATAAACCTATTATTAAAAATGATATACAATTAGAATTCAGAAGTGAAATTCTTAATAGGCCACTACAAATTAAACAGAAAAATGCAACTAGTACGATTAATCCTACATGTTCTAATGAGTTGTTAAACAAATTAGATATACAAGGAGAAGTAATAGAGAGACTAACACATCAAGTGATTATGTATAAAGATATGGATTATAAAATAAAAAAATTAACTCAGGAACTACAAAATAAAAATAAGGAAATAGAATTGCTAAACCGCAGAGCAGCATCCAAATATTCACTTGAGAAAAAAAGTTTTAAAAGCGACTTTCTAAATTTGAATAATGGTAATGTAATGGATTTCCAAAATAAAATAGACTTCTTAGAAGACAAAAACAAAAAGCTCCTGAAAACAGTTACGTTAGAAACTCAAAATCGTCGGAAATTAGAGTGTCGAGTGAAAAATCGAGACAATAAAATAAAAGAATTAAATTGGAAACTCGAGAAAGCATCCAAATTTTTAGACAGAGCCGAAAAAAATGCCTACAACTACAGAAAAAAAATGTTAAGTATGCAAGCTCTTGTCAGGCGAAAAAAGCTTATGCACGAGAAGAATAGTTTATTAGATGAATTCCTTATTGGACAATCTGACCAAAATTATTCCGAAAACGCTCGAAGAATGGCTTTGGAAATCGAGAAAGCTTGTGGTCAACAGGGTTATTTAAAATTAATGGAATACGAATTTCCATTGCCAAATTTGAAGGATTTGCACGGAAGTTTTAACGGAAATGTAAATGAACTTGGAGATGAAGATATTATAGCTGAAAGTAAAAATTCGGATAAAAATAACGATATGATTTATATCGAAAATGTAAAAGAGGAAAAGAATGAGATTGTAGAGAATAACGAAACCAACGAAAATGAAAAAAAAGATAGTGAAGATATGGAGTATGTAGAATTTATAGATTTGGATTTATTGAATGAATCGCATGAAACTGTGAGTGGTACTGTACAGGACATCTTCAATGAAAACAGTGACAATGAGGAAATGGATTTGGATGAATTAAAAAAGCATATCATGATTAATTTTAATGATAACACGTAGTCACATAAAAATGTAAATTTTATGTAAAAAAATTTTGTTGACTTGACGGATCTAAAAAATCATTTATATCCATGTAGCTAGCTAAAACGAAAGTTGAATTTTTTTTTATAACATCGACTCATTCAAGTATTATCGATTAAGTTGAATGATTTTTTATAGGAGTGATGTAAATATATGCAAAAATCGAACAGTCTTGATAATTAATGTACTTATTGTTTTATCCAATTCGTTACAATAAAGGGGGTAGTACATTAAAAATTGAAAAATTTTAAAGAAATTGCCAAAGAAATTGGTGAACAGGCGCGCGCGCGCACACACACACACGCACACACACACGCGCACACACACACACAAACACACACACAAACACACACGCGCGCGCGCGCGCGCGCGCGTATATTGTATATTGTACATAGATTAGAATGTATAAAATTTTTTTCATGTTTAACACAAAAAATAGAATTTTATGAATGCACATGTTTTTATACGACACTGTTTATGAAAAACTAACAAAGAAAGACACTTCCGTAATAAAAACCATGGAAGACAATTGTAAACATTCTTTATTCATGTGAAATTCGAGGTTAACGCGTTTATCAAAAGAATTTTTATACACATACTCTTACTGAGCAAAAACTCATGTAAATATTGATTCATGGAAATACAAAGATCTTTTGAAATGAAAGGAAATCTTGTCAATTAATTACAATTTATCTCTGCAAACATTCAATTTTCCTATTTTTTTCCTTAATGTACTTCTTAATCTCGCTGTTGGTAATTCATAGAAATAACTTGCAAGAACTTTTGCTCCCTCGATGTAGCATCTAATGGAAATATTTTCCTCTTCAGTGTGTGCTTTTGCTTCATTGTTTACAATTGGCAACATCAAGATGTTAAGCTTTGGCATTGCGTCGCGAAGTTTGAGGAGAGTAGGAAAACCATTACCCTCTCGGATAAAACTTGCTTCTTCCTTGTAAACCTATACATTTTTTTTAACAATTCCATTGAAAAAACAACCGGTACTAGCTAATTTAAATACAAAGTCTCCAACCTGTTTTATAGCCACGCTAGCAGCTTCATAGTTCCAATGCAAATGGTTTTCACACCAAGGATCCAAAGACATATCAGCATTTATTTCAATTTTGTTTGGCGTTTTCAACTGCTGTTCCAATTCCTTCACATAAGCCACAAGCGAATTAGATACTTTTTCATGCCTTTGATTGGGCACCGTACTAAAAATCATTTTTCCGTAAATATCGCGTTAACAAAATTGCCGCGTCAATAATTTACCGCACTGAAAATCGCGCGAAAACTTTCTTGGGTATATCCAAAATATTCGAATTTTCGCACGAGTTATTGATATAGTGCAAATTGAACCACGGGTACCTCCAAGTATGCATCAGAACCAACTTTAAATTATTGTTGTGGCCAAGAGTATCAACGCCAACATCTTTTCGATAATCTTCAACGTCCAATTTTATCTTTTTCTTCAATGATTCCTCATCAGGTGTAACTTCGACGACATCGTCGTAAAAATGTGGCACATTTACGTGACCAAATGCATCTGCTAGACTACGCAAAATACAAATTAATGCTATTGAAAAGCGATAATTAAAAATAAAGCTTTGGCAAAACCTATTTAATATAAAAATAAGATCTTGCATGGGCTCGCGAATAATGCCACCAAAATCACCACTGTGTAGATCGTTCTTTGGACCTTCAATCGTACAATTAAAATAGCAAACTCCTCGCATCCCGTAGACAATACAGGGATAGTCTTTGCCTAACCATCGGCTTTCCATCATCATAATGCAATCGACTTGTGTTAGAAAAGTAGGTTTCAAATCTTCCAAGACGCTATTCAAGCCTTTATTCTTGCACTCAAACATCGATTCTATAGTCGAATATCAATTTAGCATATTTTTTTCGCAAGCAACTTGATTTACTTTTCATCATTTACCACATATTATGCGTATGTTGATAGGTAACTCAACTCCCACCTCACGATAAGCTTCAATTGCGTGGATGAAGCACAATAGCGGTCCTTTCATTTTCGCTGTGCCACGTCCGTAGAGCTTTCCATCGATTTCAGTTAATTCAAATGGATCAGTTTTCCATTGTGCTTTTTGAACTTTAAGAACGTCAAGGTGACAGTAGTACAAGAGTGTTGTCTTTTCTGGATCTTTTCCAAGAATTCCAACGACTACTGGTGGCTTATTTCCCTATAAAATAAATTATTTATTAAAAATATTATTGTTAATTGATTAATAGCTGCTTTACCTTGTAATTTTTATAGTCAGGTATCTTCGTAACTAAATTGAAACCTAGATTTTTCAATCGTTTAGATATCCACCTAACTAAAGCTGACAAGTGATCCTTCGCGTATGGATCAGCGCTAACATTGGGGACGTTGACAAGTTTTCGCAACTCCTCGATATGATTTTGACTATTCAAATCTAGATATTTGTAACATTTTACCAGATCTGGTGGTATAGGCATTTTAGTTTACAGTCAATATTAACAGCAGAAGGATCTAATTATTTAGGTTAAAATTGAGAAAGTTATTCAACTGTTTGATCTAAGGTAAATTATGAATATATTTTTTTTCAACGCGTCTCACAATCATAAAGTTCAATTTACAAAAACGGCTAAGATTGTTTTATATATATTTTTATATTATTTCAATCTTGCAAATAAGAGCATTTTTGCAGATGGGCTCAGCTGTTTATGTATTTTGATAAAATAAATTAATAAAATGTTTAGCAATTTCCATACAAACAATATTTTTTTAATTACTTAATTCTATTTATCACATGCGCAACGTATTTTTTGTTCTTTCTATTTGTTTGCAACGGTTTCCTATTGAATTAAAAATTACAAGCTGTACAAAACTTCTTCTATAGTCATTCTTCACTGTACAATGTGCTAATGTTCACAATATCAAGTCCTACTTCGTGCACTTTAAAAATAGGATAACAAACACACGATAGATCGATTAAAATCAATCAAATTTACCGTCGGGTTTTAACTTTCTTTTCCTTGACGATACTAACAGACTCGCAAACACACCAAGGCGTAATAGACTCATCACACATCAAGGAAATATTTAAAATAGTTATGTGAGTATCGGTAATAGTTGCATTGATCGATTTTTCTAGTTTGTAAGCTACGTTGTGTAGTCCAGTCTGACGATCACGCTTTCTTGTGACTTCTCTTTGATTAAAACATTTCACCATGTCCCTTTTACGATAATTCCTATCATGAACATGTCTAAAATAATATTATATTTCATAATTATCAACTTGCTTTCATATTTTTCGATATTATTAAGTAATTCACTTTTACTTACTTGAAAGTACTTGTAGTTCCAGTTAGAAGATTTGGTGGCCTTGTAACATCAAGTCCTGCTTCTTTCAGCCTTACATAAAATTCATCATCTTCTAAACCCCAACCCCAATACTTATTCGACATACCATTTACTTGCAGAAAATGCTCCCTAAAAATAAAATATAACATTAATATAGTTTAAAATTCAACTATTAAAAAGATTTTAAACTTTCTGTTGAAGTACCTCTTAACCAATAAAATTCCACCTATGAAAGTAGGGTAATGATATCTGGGATGAAGTCCAGGTGATGAAATGTGTAAAGGACCTTTGTCAGGGTAAAAGTATTGCAACTCACTGTTCATTGGTAAGAGATCAACATCATGCATAGCTATATAGTCAAAGTCTTTTTGTGTTTCTAAAAATCCTACATTTATAAGTGAAGCCCTATTGAATCTGTACCTATCAATCTGCAATTTGAATATAAATTTAATGTATGACAAGTTAATGGTCTAGTTTTACTTTTACCTGATTCAATATAAATATATGATAATTAATGTCTTGCTTATCTAGAAATTTTTTCATGTGTGGTGCAAATATCAACAATTCCTCAAAGCGGTCTCTAAATGGCACCAGTATGGCTAAACGATGTTCATACTTAAATAATTTTCTTCGAGCCGCAGAGTCCTTCACATTGGTTACTTCTGGTTTATTATTACATTTACATTCTTCTGTAAAACAATAAATTATGTGAGCTTTACGCTAAGGAATTTTGATTATTGAAAATTTCATAAATTTACAAAAACTAAATATAGAAAAACTAAGTATTCACTAATAGATAACCAGGACTTTAATCAGTAGATGTAAACAAACATTTTTAACCTACAATTTTGCACAAAAGAATGAAATTTAAATTAAAAAGGGATTGATTAAAAATATCTACTACTATTTTTAACTTACCTATACTAATAGGAGCAATGCTAATCAAGCAAGAAATAACAAAAGTAACGAAGATACACGTAAAAATGTATTTAAATTTGAGATTTTTAAATAGAATCTCCATGATTTCTGTATAGGTTTGACTGTTTTAGAGTATTAAGCACCTGTAAGAGTTGTTAGTAAGCAAATGAGTCCACGACATTTTTTGCCGTTGTACTCGTTCAGATTAGCGAAAATAATGCCACATTTTAATGTAATTCCAATTACATTTTGACATTAATCAACACACATATTGTGCGAACTAGTTGGCCCGGGTGGGTGGCCATATGTTTTCTTTATTCTCCAGCTGATGTACATAACCTATACTTGACATTTCATAATTCGTATTTTATATTTTACCGGTTACCACGTATTACGAATTTCCAAATATCGGCTCTATAGTTAACCGTAAGTTATAATTTTTTATTTTATATGATATGGTGTAAAAACCAGAATTTTGAAATATGTATGAATGTAATTATCCGTCTTCAATACATAACAATTCTTAACATATTTATTTTCATATTAAATAATGAAAATTTATTTTTAGAAGATACATAAAATACCGTACAATTTTATCAAATTAGCAAGAAATTTAAAAAGTATGTTTTTAACAAAGAATTAATTAAGTTGTTCATCTTATTATCATTGATTGGTAAAATAAAGAAGACTCGACATTTGTAAAGCTTGCAAACTTCCGAAACGCAGTTTTGACAGAATTAAAAACCTCTTCTCGCGATCAAACCACCTTAAAAGCTAAAATTGAAAAAATATATACATCTTCACGCTGAAAAACATGCATGGGTTAGAAAAATGAAGCTGAAGGTTCCATTAAGCTGCGTAACTGTCAATAGGCGTCTCCTTCAACAAGATGAACTAGACGAAAAATCAAAGTGACGCGGGTAAAGGACAAGAATAGCAAACAATCATGGTATTAAGTCAAGGGCTAATGCAGCTTAAGGATGAGCAAATGTCGGAGAAAAGCGAGGCGAACTCAATCGAAAGCGAAAATCCAGCGAGAATCGAGGACATTTTCGAGTGGATCGATGGCATTCCCCTCTCCAAAACTACCAAAAATCTCGCTCGTGATTTTTCCGACGCCGGTACTTTGGCAAATCTTTGTCGATTTAAGCTTCTGTAATAACCTGTACTCATTAATCGAATAACCGTTTCAGTGCTGATGTCCGAAATTCTCAAGTTTTACTATCCGAACCTCGTAAACTCACACAACTACATACCGGCGAACAGCATTCAAAATAAGAAGGAAAATTGGAACACACTGAATCGCAAAGTTTTGACGAAGATCGATTTGCGCCTGAATCAAGAGACCATCGATCAATTGGCGCACTCGCAGGTGGGCGCTATTGAGAGGCTTCTCAATGAGTTTCGCGACAAACAGATGGCAACGAAAATTAAGGACACCGATTTCAGCGATGTTAATCTGCATCATTTGGGTAGGATTTATTTATATAGGGAGAAATGCGTTGCGCGTATTCTGAGGTGTGTTTGATTTTTTAGAACGACCGCGAACGGTAACTACGCAAAAGAAAGTTGAAGACGAGCCGCGCAACGAAAGATCCATATTTTCTAGAATGCTCGGAGCGATTGTACATTTTTTCGCTACAATTTTTGGAATAATCTTGGCTATATTATGCTTTTGGCGATGGTTCTCGAGAAAATCCAAGCCACAATCCGTCAAACTGGAATCCAAAGCTCTACCTGAATCGGAAGGTAACGTCAATCTAATGTTTGTTGTTTTGTTACGAACTACAGGAACATTTGGCCATTAAATATTTGTAGAGCAACGGCACGAAGATGAGTTAAGCCATTTACGCGAGTCATACGCTCAGACGCTGGAAGAACTACGCGTAAAAGCAGATGTGATAAAAACTTTGTGCCACAAAGTTGCATTCCTTGAGGGAACGATGAAGCTCAAAGACATGAAAATCAGTGGGCTGGCGAATCAACTCGACGCCCAGCAGCAATTCCAAATGCAGCAGCAGCAGCAACTCCAAGTACCGGAATTGTCGGCTAAGTCTAACGCAGCCTCCAATCCAACGACGAAGATAAGAAAGAGGCCGCGAACGCAAATCTAAAGCGGGAAGCGCAACACTCGCACTCTCGCGAATGTGCATTAATGATCAATAACAGGTCAACGAAATAGGACTTTGGACAAGCCATCAAAAGCATAGAGATCTTTCTCTTTTTAGCATCGCGTAAGAAAATGCTGCCGACGAAATTTGTTTCTGAGATTTGAATTGAAGATGGATAAAAATTCTCATTATTCCACTTTTTCCGCAACAACTATTTCGATAAATTAGATTTACACTTTTTTTCTGAAATTACATTTTTACCCATGGGAAATAAAAAATGAATCTTTGACGTTATTAGTCTTATTGGGGAGTTGGACTGGGCGAAATATAAATCAAGCAGCTTCGCTTATTCTAAAATTTTTCCGACAAACATTAGTTCGAAATACACTCGTCAAAACATTTTTTACATCTCATCACATGCAACCCAACAGACGTAGCATCAACAGCGCTGCATCTAAATTTTCCTTCATCTCTGATCAAGAAATTGCGATTTGCTAGTAAATTTCTATTCGACAAAAGAGAAACGAACCATCCCCACGTAGCGCCTCGAAACTCTTTCCTCTCGCAGGATCTAGAGAGAGGGGGAGGGAAGAGAAGAGAGAGAGAGAGAGAGAGAGAGAGAGAGAGAGAGAGAGAGAGAGAGAGAGAGTAGAGTTCGAGTTCAAGGCCCCCGTAAAGCGCAATAAGTTCGCGTGTAAGAGGAGGGGAGAATATACCTATACGTTGGTCAAATCAGGTGCTACACCGTAAAGGAGTGGACGAACGCTACTCAGACGCTTCGAAGCTGCCTTCAAGCGTACATCCGGATACTTGTAAGTAATAACAGATTTTTTTTCGTTTCATGTTTTCTTTGAGATTCGGTATGATTGCTATTGCTAAATCTTAGTACGTAGCATTTTCATAGTAGAGATTATTGTTCATTGTGTTTTGACGGTGAGGGTAATTATTTATTTCGCATTGCACAGTTGCGTGGTTGTTACGTTCATTTCCTACTGTGATATTCATATTTAAAAATGAAAAATACAATGAATCGATGGATAATCAATCGTTGTCCTCGGTAATTTTCATATATTTATTTGAACTGTCCTCGTTCTACACGAAACGACCATTTCGTACTCGAAAATAATTTCTCCAAACGAACCACAATCGTATTGCGACGCGCGAAAGAATTTTCTAAAGAGTCTCTCCAATAAGAAAGTGCGAAGCAAAGATTAACCCATTAGCCTAAAGTCAAAACAACATTTTCTCTGTAGTTTCTTTCTCTCTCCTGCTCGAATTCGCGCCTGATCCCCGTAGAAATCTCAGTCTCTCAATGGTCCAGTTCTTCGACGACAAACTTACATGATTGACGCAACGAACAGCAAGGCTTTACGTGAAAACGTCCTGAAAATATTGAAAATCGCCATCGGATGGCAATGATAAAAACCGCGGGCAAACTTCCACGTGGAACCGGTCGTTCGCGCCGTTCACCTTGACAGTCGGAATCTCTTTCCACATACGCACGCGAGCGGATATTTCACTCGGGCACAGTCTCGAGAAAGTTTTGAAAGTTCTTTCGTGTTTTTCCTGCCCGTAGAGGATATAATATTGATATGAAACTCGTCGGCTGACTAAGTGAAAATTGATTGATTGTTTGTCGATGTTTACTTTCACCGTTAATTATGTGTCCTCGTGTCTTACTCAATTACATATTTCGTCTGTACGATCGATGTGTAAGTCTGCGCGATAAATACGCTTCGCCGGATCGTAATGATTGTGGGCTGAATGAAAAATCTCCATGACGTACATAACGACAATGACGAGCAATCATCCATTCTCATGAAAGTTGAAAAGAAAAATGTATGCACCGAATGAGAAAATCAGGTACTCATCTTCTCTTATTTCTTATTCTTTCTCACTCTCTGCTTCGTACGATAAAAAAACAGACACAGACAGATCATATAAAATAGCATGGCGATTCTAAACTTATGGACGTGCTCGATAATATGCCTGGTGGCCGCAGTCTTAGCGATCGCTGGCATTGTCTTCCTCCTCGGGCTTCTACGTCTCTACGTCTACTTGAGTCTCGGCGTTTGCAAAAGTAAAGCAAGTATGAAGGGCAAAACCGTTATCATCACGGGATGCACATCTGGCATCGGTCGTGAAACTGCTAAAGATTTAGCCAAGAGAGGCGCGAAAGTTGTGATGGCCCTGTCGAAACGTCGAAGCTGCTACGACATCCGAGGTAAGTTCGATGAGTGCGTCGATGTTTACATTTACACGTCTATTGCTTGTCGATCAGTCGATTCCGCCGCGAGGATCGAGCAGAGTTCAAGTCATTGACTATGCGTACGCGTGAACGCGTTGTTTCGTTGCGGATGCGATCGTAGGCTCGTGCACCCCAGGTGCTACTTGCAGTTTTCCCAATTTTTAAAAGTGTGCCGCGCGAACTGAAACCTCCGCGTGTATCGCGACTTTCGAGCGTCACGACCGAATAAAAATAATCTCGCACACGTTACTATTTGCCGGATGCCGCGGTCGAAGCATCTCTGCCGATGCGCCAAGTGAAAGCATCGTGGACCGTTGAACTTTAGAATTCGTTTTCTTTTTTTTTTATGTGGCCGCGCGTCGACCGAACGTCTTAATTGCCGAAATACGATCAACCTTCAAAAACTTCGACTTACTTTGTGCGACTGTATATTGCGACACTATTTAACCGCTATGTCGTTATGTAAAGTAGATTTCGTTATGATTGCAACTTTGACTCATTGTTGTGTTTTTTTTTGCATTCGCGTTGGCTAATCGGTCACGACGTGAGTACTCAATTAGTGTCACTTGTTTTCTTGTGTACTGAATTTGCAAGGTTTTCTCTCATCGTGGAAGTAGTCACGTTATATTTGATATTTCACACGCTACGAAATATCTTTTTTTATGAAAGTTTCTTATTTCGAGTATAAATCTTAATTAAATTGCTTAATAACTATTCTTTTGATAAGAATAAAAAATCCTGAACTTGACATAGTTTTTCAATTAAAAATCATTTGTTTTTTATTTTGAATACTTTTATTCTTTGCAAGAGAATATATTTCTCATTTGAAGAACACTTTAGACTTCTTACAATTAGTATTACTAACTTATACTTGTCCCGTGTTGCATTCAATTCTTATTCGCCGTGCAAAATGAACTCGTAATACAATCCAAAAACAAAGGTGCAATCTTGATATTGCATCAGAGCGTCGATCATTTCGATTGCAATGCTGACGCCTAATGGGAGCATTGTATTCAATTCGCGGTCTGCTCAATTTGCTCGCAATATTCATTTCAGACGAGTTGGCGAAAGAAACCGGCAACGACCGAGTTGGTGGTTCGCAAACTGGACCTGTCATCATTGGAGTCAGTGCGCGATTTTGCCAAGCAAAATAAACCGCGAGGAGAGCCGTCTGGACGTTCTGATTCACAATGCGGCACAGCTGAGACTTTTGCCAGAAGGTCAGCGAGGATGGCATTGAGATGACCATGGCGTACCAATCATTACGGACCGTTCTTACTTACCCATTTTGCTCATTGGTGAGCGATGACTTTGCATCTTTTCTTTCCTTTTCTTTCTGATTAACAATAAAACACCAACCACGCAGTTTTACGTGGTCAAGGATGTCCCGATCAAAGATTCTTTTTTTTTTTAATTTTCAAGATTTGCTGAAACGCTCGGCGCCCAGTCGCGTGGTAGTCGTCGCGTCTGAACTGTATCGCCTGGCAAGTTTGAACCTCGACAACGTCAACCCAACAATGTCACTGCCAGCCTTACTTTGTACTACGTTTCCAAATCACGCAAACATCGTGTTCACCTCGAACTGGCACGCAGGACTCGAGGGTACAGGCGTTACCGCGAACTGCCTGCATCCTGGCATGATCGACAGTGGAATCTGGGCGCAATGTTCCTGCTCCTTTGTCATGGGGACTGTGGTTGATTATCAAGGGATT